TTCACTGGCTCTGTTCTATTTCTGTCCCCCGCGCACTGTCGCTGTGGGAGCCCTGCCAGAGGCAGAGAGGAACCAAAGCCCCCTGGAACACCAAGAGGAAGGACAAGTTAGATCTGGGCTTCCACAGAGCCATGATGCTCCAGCTTTAGTTACAGGAAAGGAATCCAACTCACTCTCACAAGCCCACATGCAGCCCCAATGGCAGACATGCCGGGCGAATTTGTTAAAGTCATAAAATTTGGCAGGAATGAGTTTGGTAGAAGTGGGGGATGAAGTGAGGGATCCAGTTGAATGAGTGGGATGCAGTGGAATAAGCAAGAACCAAGAACAGGGACTGCTCTGGAGAGGCAGGCGACACTCCCGCCCCTCCAGCGAGGGCACTGCAAGGGTTGTGGGGCCAGTGTCCCCAAGGCTCCCCTTGCCCAGGTCTCATGGCGTCCCCAACCGCCTAGTGATAGGAACGGACGCTGTATCCCTCTGACCGTACATTTCCTCCAACAAAACATTAATTTTCCTGATTTTTTCTAAGAAAATGAACAGAACATTCCGTCAACTGGGCATTCAGTTCGTCCTTTAAGAGAGCCCGGCATTGCTTGGACAAGGGCAAGCAGGAAGGAGGCTAGCATTTTCCCCTTAGTGCTGGCCGTTTTGCATGCTCTAGGGGACTGTCTGTTTCATTCTCCCTGTGACCTCCTAGGGAGGCACCATTATTCCCAATCTGCAGACGAGCAGACAGTGGGGCAGCAAGTCCAGCCAAGTCCAGAGTCCAGCTGGAACAGGCTGGCTCCTTCGGTGGAGGTGAACTCCTTTCATTTCAGCTCTGGCTTCTGTCTTTCAAGGCAGCGGTGGCTGCTGGTGTATTGCAGGTGTCCTGGCAATGACCATGAGAATGTGAGTTGTCCCTGGCCCCAAATCCTCCTCCTCATGTAGGAGGTAGGCGAGGCAGAGTGGATGGTCGTGAAGGCAGAAGCCTCAATCCTGAGCCGCAGGGCCTTGGTGCACTTGCACACACATTGTCTCATTTCACCTCCTAACCCCTGGGAGGAGGCTCCAGTGACCCCGTGTCTCAGGTGGAGAAACAGAGGCCCACGGAGGTCTAGGAAGCAGTTCATGGGAGGGCCAGAGCTTCACCCCACGCTACCACATGGCAAGTGGCTCACCTGCACCATCAGAGCAAAGGGCTTCCTATCTGACAGTGATGGAGGGCTTTCACTAGCCAAGGGAAGACCCCTGCCCCATCTGCATTTCATCATTTACCTCACAGTGTGACTTCTGAGGCTGGTGGTGTTGGGATTATCTCTACTTCACAGGTGAGTGAACTGAAGCCCAGAGAGGTTAGGTCACCTAGTTAATAAACAAAGGCATAAAGGGGGCATTTGTTTTTCGATGGAGAGGATAAAGCAGCTTGGTTTGTACATTCTGAGAGGCTTGTGGTTTGTTCATCTCGAGGGCTGCGTGTGCTTTATTGGGAGCTGCCCCACCTCCCAGGGCTGGATGCCAGGCGGGCCATCTGCTTCTGGGGCTGGGTGCCCCTCCCACAGTCCTTGCCTTCTCTCTGAACGACTGGCTCCCAACTGGCTGCAGCCGTTAAAGAAGTTCCAGGAAAAAGATCTTAGCTAGCCTCCTCTGCAACCTAATTTCTGCTGCGGTGGGTATTGCCTTGTCTGCATAAATGGCTCTGCTAATTTTCTGCTGCTGTGTGTTGTTGTGGTTGCAGAATGGCAGAGGAGGAAGGGCGGGAATCAACCACTTTCTTGGCACCTGCTCAGGGTCCTGTCGACTGCTTGATGAACGTCGGCTCTTGCCTCCCACCCCATTCACAGCAGCCCTGCGGTCCTCACAAAGCTGAAGTCAGATCAGGTCGCTGCCCTGCTGGGTACCATCCTCTGCACAGAGGAGCACCCCCAGCGCCGCACTGCTGCCCCTGGGGTTGTGGACCCAGCCTTCCATGTCCCACTCACCTTCCTTCTCCACACGGCACTCTGGATTCGGGGCCTTTCTTCTGCTCCTGGAGTAGGCACATCTGTGTGTCCCCGGCAGAACCCCTGCACCCGGACAGCTCGCAGCCGCTCAGACACTCAGGGGCCTTCCCCAGCTATTCTCTGGAGTCTAGGTCAGGCTCCCCTATCTGTCGACCCACTGGTGGTGTTCACAGTGCTCCCCACAGTGCATGCTCACACGTGTGTTCTCTGCTGAGCTGCTGCAAGCTGTGTGCGGGCAGGGACAACTTTGTTTGTTCATCTCAGCATCCTGGGGCCTGGCATGTAACGAGCTCTCATTCACATTTGCAGACTTAGCTCAAGAAAAGTAGGACCCACTGTTGCTGTCATCCCATCCTTTCTATTTCAGTGCCAAGGAGATGGGCTGAGGGCCATCAGGCGACTTGTCCAAGGTTCTGCGTGGTCACACTGGGAATCTGGGAATCCAACCAGGTTGTTCTGGCTGAACTTTGTTTTCTCTGTTCACAGCCTCCCAGCAACGGGGATGTGCATTTCCTCCATGTCTGGGTTTCTCAGTGCTTGGTCATGTATGTTTTTAGAGTAGAAATAGAAGCACAGTGCTTTGTGAAACCCTGAAGGGGAAGCTTCCACGCAGTGCCCAGCATCCAGGGGTGAATGTGGCCTTCCATCAGGAAGCCTGGAGCTAGGGGCTGTCCCTCTACCCAGAGAGACAAATGCAGACACACATAGCTCAGGATATGTCCGTCTGTGTTCATGGCAACAGGGCCAGAAGCTGGGAAAGGCTGGGATGTGACAGGAAGGGGTCTGAAGGGAGGAGGGCATGGCAGCAGTGGCTCCACCTGCAGCAGATGTGTGGGGAAGGAGAGGGAAGGTCTTCTAGGAGGAGGCTGTGCTCACAGGGGGTGGAGTGAAGCACCTGGATACCCAGGTGCCAGCAAGCGCAGCACAGGCAGGCTTCCATGAGGCTCCTGCCCTGGGCACTACAGTGGGTGGAGGAATCCTAGGACCATCCCCACCTCCAGTTATTAAACATTTAATGGTACACCGTTGCCTAACACATCGGGCACCAGAAAGGAGGCTTTGGAGGAGCTTGAGAGCAGGGCAGAGGAGAAGAGGTGTTTCAGAGGCAGACAGGCTTTATTCTGTTGCAGTGGAAAGTCTGGAGGGCTTAAAGCAGAAGAGTAACATAATTTGATTTCACTTCACTGGACAGATTTTACAAAACAGACTAAGGTCCTGGGAATGTATAAATGTAGCAGCCAGGGGGAAGGGGAGATTGAGCTATCAGAATCAGGGTCCAGGCAGGATCTGAATCCAGGCACTAAGGAGAAACCCACTTACCACAACAGAAATCCACTTACCACAACAGAAGCTGAAGATCAGAATGAATCCAGGTGTCTGATGGTGGCTCTCAGGGTGCTGACCAGGGCTGGGGGTGGAAGTGTGGGGCTGTGGGGAGGCTGAGCCTGCAGGTGCTGCCAATGGGCCCTTCCTGTGCAGAGAGAAGGGTGGCAGTGGCCCCACCGCTTGCAGTGGGATGGCGGTATCGATCAGCTTCTATGGCTAGAACCTGTGGTCTACCCAGTATAACCCCTAGGGAGATCGGTGGCTCTAAGGGGGCCCTGTGTTTCCACAATGGCTGCATTCTCACCAGACTTAAGTTCCATGTAGCCTCTGAGCAGCATTGTGGCCCAAACTCAACACTGTGATGAGAACAGGTGCTTCTCCTCCTTGGCTTCACATTGGCACTGCTGAGGAGCTTTTCCAACCCCAGAGCAATCAAACCCAGAAGTCCCCTGGGGGTGGGACCCAGGCATTAGCCTTCTTGAAAGCTACCCAGGCAGTTCCAATGTGTGGCCAAAGTTGAGAACCTCTGGATTAGAAGGAATTGCTGTAGAGTAAGAGACCACATATTTTTCCACATATTGACTTGGGGCTGGATTCTCTTGACAGGCAATTCCAGGCATAGTGACAATGCCTTGTGCCATTTCTTTGGTTGCTAAATGGAACCCCGAAGTCCTTTTCTGCTGGGTGACCCCTGGCTGGATGAGAGGCAAGCTAGTTGCATGATCCAGCTCAATGACTTGTCCATCTGCGTTAACAGTAGGCTGAATTATGACAGCAGTGGCCGCGCTCCCAAAGGGGGTTAAAGTACTTGAGCTATCCCTTCTGGAAGCACAGCCCCTTTAGAAAATGGAAGATGCTAACTAGTTAGAGGTTCCAGTCATGCTCCTCAGTAGCCAAGGGAAATGTAGGAAAGAAATCCCATCAGCCAATCCCAGAAATGTCAGGTGGGCAGTTGTCATTTACACAAGTTCACATCTGGCAGAGTGGAGGTGGCTGGGCATTCTATGGAGCAGTGAAGAGGGCGTGAACATTTTTCTGGTGTTTTTAGGAAAAGGGCAGGGAAGACAGGTGGCAAAGGTGATTTGAAAAATGGGGCTAATGCTGTAGCTTTGAGTGATACTCAAAGAATAAAATACGAAGGAGGATAAAATAAACCGATGCTGTTCTGCCCTTATACATCCTGTCGGAAAAGAGTCATAGGAAGAACACAGCTGTTGAATGAGGTGTCCATGTCCTCAGCTGGGCCCCTGCTCAAATTGCTCAGCTGGGATGCAGCTTTGGGGTCTTGTCCTCAGAGGGTAGTGAGCTGATGTCAAGGTGGGGTGTCAGGAAGCAGGCAAGTGACTGGGGAACCAGAGTAGTGGTCGGTGGGTATGTGTGGAGGGGCCAGGGCCCAGCAGAAAGGCCTGGGAGGGGCTGTCCCAGATCGGGTGGTGGGGGCCTCCGCTGAGCCAACACCTGTCCTGACTCCATGGCTTGTGCTCTGAGCCCTACAACAGCTTCTTTGAGACCCAAAAGCCAGCAGTAACATACTCTGAATGGTGTTTTGCCAACTTGCCATGTGACTTGGACAACTCACTTCTCTTTTTGACACAGAATCTTGCTCAGCTTCCCAAAGTGCTGGGATTATAGGCGCGAGCCACGGCGCTGGCCCTGGGCTTTTCTAACGAGGCTCCCTTCTTGTCCTTCCAGGGCCCTTATCTTTGTTTCCCATGGAGCTGCGGAGCACTGTGGCCGCTACGATGAGCTAGCTCAGATGCTGAAGGGGCTGGACCTGCTGGTGTTTGCCCATGACCACGGTGAGTGTCCCAGGATGCCATGGGAGCTGGCCGGGCCCTAACAATTTGGAGATCTCCCTCTCTAGTTCATCTCACCGCCAGCATCCTTCCTTCTGAATTCGTCTATTCCCCACGGATGTTTCTAAGTAAAAGAATGTAGTTATGCAAACAAAAAAAATGTCTCAGCAGCAGATTCTGTAGAGTCTGAGACTGAATGCAGGCTGATTAGAAACCTCAACTGAAAAAACAAAGTTAGATATGTTTATCTCAGAAATTGCCTCAAGCCAAGGAATTCTTTCCTGAATTTATAAAGTGCTTTCTCTCAAAATGGGTCCTGGTTTTCTCCAAGTGCCCTCAAATGGACGTGGTGTAGTCAGTTCAAGTACAATGTAAACCCTGGTTTAAGCACACAAGGTTTCTAAAGCATTTCAGACCAGGAGAATAGTAGAAGCCTCAACAGGTCATATTGGTCACAAGAAAACCCAACACACACACACACACACAGGGACACATACCCATACCCACCCAGGCAAATAGTCATACACACATGTGCACACACATATACATACACATACACACATGCATGCATGCACACACACCTGAACAAACATGCACACACATGTGCACATACATATTCACACACATGTAAACACACATACATATACCTGCGCACATGCACATTTACACACACATGCACACATACATATAGACATATATAAGCATACATAAACACACACACACCCAGGCCAAGTCTTTGATTCTTTGTCCTGTAACAAAATCCACAAGCATCAAATGCAATGTTCATTGCCTGAGTCGGTATGTGCTTTGTGCTTTTGTAATCATGTTTGCAACATTCTCTATGGCTGGGAAGTCTCCCAGTTCAGTTCTTTGCCTAACACTTTTTAAAATTAAGACTTTCCCATGACTGAACATGGTGATTTCTCCGCAGCTTCAATGTAAAATTCTATCATTGTGGCCCAGATCCAGAAATGTTGTTTCTGTTTTATATGATTTGAACATGGATAATTAAGTGATGTCTCTGAAAAGAGGGACAGGGGAGCAGTGACAGGGGCCTGGGAGTCCTTGTAAATTCAGGAAAGCCTTATCTGTACAGAGAAACTGCACGGGGTAAAATGTTTGCTGGGACATTCTGTAGGTAAAAAGTTGCAAATGTGATTTGCCAGGATCTCTTATTCAGCTGGATATATACAAGCATCCTCGTAACTGACAATATTGACTAATCCTTTCTTATCATAGTTGTGACGTTCCTTAGTGCTTTGCAGACTATCCTGGTAATATTTGTGAGACTGTTTGATAGATAATATCCTGGTAATATTTGTGAGACTGTTTGAGAAATAATATTCAAGCATTATCTTCGAGGCTTTTAGTATGGGGACTATGTCATTATTAACTTTGGCGTTTCTCACACATAAAAAGCACAGGAATTTTTCTTTCCTATTGCATTTGTCTCCTTTAAAATTTGTTACTCTCATCATAATTATGTTCTAGGGACATCCCGAAGGAAAAGAATATTTGTACTATGCGACTAGAATCCCAAGAATCTATTTTGTATCTTAGCACCAACCACCTTCTCATCAGATAAAACTTGGCCAAATCTGTGGGATTAAGTAAATGTTGTTCCTTGTTTATTTTGTCTGACTGTGGCACTTTGAAAAACAATTTTAAAAGCCTCCTTTTTTTTTTTAGAATAAAGGGAGAAAAGAAACAGCCCACCTTTTGATGTTTCCAAAATAACATCTAAGTTGAGACAGAGCTCTCTGTGACATTCTAAGTATAGTGCAAAAATGGTTGTTTGTGTTCACCTGTTTCAAGCTTTTTGAATGACTCATGGAAATCTCTGGCAAATTCCTAAGGGAAGTGTTTAATCCAAGAAATGAATCCAGTTGACTGTGTGTGTGTGACTTTCGTTGTCTGTGGATGAAAATGACTGTGGCTTGCTTAGTAGAAGGAATCCAAGTAAGTGGGCTGCCATTTCGGGGATCTTGTGCAGGCTGGGGATGCGGATACTGCTGGCTGGTGATCTCGGCTATATTTCCTTCTTGCTGAGAAATGTGCTAGTAAGTCAGGAAGGGAGGATTTGAACCCAGGTCTGCATTTTAACAGCAAACCTCTCTGATTTAATAAGGCCTGGAGCCCATGGTGTGGCTCCTGATGCATTGCTGAGGTTATGTAAGGTCCTATGCTGCTCTACTACAGCCACAGCTGTCTAGACTTTTCTAAAAAAAAAAAAAAGGCTGATTCTAAAGCCTGGTCTCTTTTATCACTCTATACCAATGTTTCCAGGCACAAATGCCTACAGAGCTATATGCAAACTGCATTCTCTCCAACATAGCTTTTATTTATTTATTTTTTTTTTTGAGACAGAGCCTTGCTCTGTCTCCCAGGCTGGAGTGCAGTGGCATGATCTTGACTCACTGCAACCTCCATCTCCCAAGTTCAAGTGATTCTCCTGTCTCAGCCTCCAGAGTAGCTGGGACTGCAGGCTCCTGCCACCATGCGTGGCTAATTTTTGTATTTTTGGTAGAAATGGGGTTTCACCATGGTAGTCAGTCTGGTTTCAAACTCCTGACCTCAGGTGACCCACTCTTCTCCCTTTCCCAAAGTGTTGGGATTACAGGTGTGAGCCACAGTGCCCAGACCAACATAGCTTTTAAATTTAGATAAAACAGGCCAGGTACAATGGCTCATACCTGTAGTCCCAGAACTTTGGGAGGCTGAGGTGGGAGGATTGATTGAGGCCAGGAGTTTGAGACCAGCCTGGGAAACATAGTGAGATCTCATCTCTACAAAACAAAATTTTTTAATTAGCTGGGCACCATGGTATGTACCTATAGTGTCAGCTACTTAGGATGCCGAGATGGGACGATCACTTGAGCCTGGGAGTTCAAGGCCGCAGCGAGTCATGATCACACCACTGTACCCAGCCTAGGGGAAAGAACAAGATCCTGTCTCAAAAAGAAAAAAATAAAGTAAATATTGGGAGAATGTCAGGGCATTTACTGTGCCCATTGGAGATACACTGAAGACTGAAAATGGACCTGAAAACACTGCTGCACTGCCCATGGCACCTCCAGGACTCCAACACCCAAACCTCCCATGTCTTTAGCCATGTTGTCATCTGCACTCCAGGGTGTCACTGGGAGCATGCGACTGCAGCCTTCATCCCAGATAGCAAAAGGGCTGAGACATTAATACACCCAGTCCAGGGCTGATTCAACAGGGAGTTCAAGCTGTGCAATCTGGACCTTTTTTAACTATCCCCAGTCTTAACTTTCTCATCTACCAAATGGGTAAGATAATGCTGTCCTATGGCAGAAGACTGGGGGCAGAGCAAGATCCTGTCTCAAAACAAAAAAAAAAAAAATGAAATAAAGCAAATGTTGGGAGAATGTCAGGGCATTTTTGACAGATTGTTGTGAGATAATGCATCAAGGCCCAGCAGTGTGTGCTGCGTTCTTCCCCTTCACTCTGCCCTGTCCAGCTACAATGTAGACCCGCTGCTGAGCTGTATATCCGGGTGGATGTGACCCAGGGCTCTGAGCAGGAACAACAGGACTGAGGCTGGGAGTTAGGGGCACGGGGTCCTTGTCCCAGCATGGGGTCCTTGTCCCGGCACGGCTGCCCTGAGTGGGGTGGGTCACCTTTCAGGCCTGCATAGGCTGTTCTGAAGATACAGTGAAGCAGTAGGTAGGAAAATGCTTTACAAAGTAGACAGAGCTACCTACGGCGGTTTCACTGCTGGTTTCTATGATACAATTTATGGAAACACTGGCTTCTATAAATCCGATGGTAACTGATTTTACTGCCATGGATCTCATTGCTCAATGCATTACAGTATTTCATTGTTCAGACAGAAACCTCCAGGCGCCGTGGTTGTGGCAGTCTGACTGTGTCTGTAGCATTCTTGGGAGATTGGTGGGCTCAGAGTCGTATTCAATAAGCATCTAATTTAACTTTGTTTTCTATTTTACCCTCAGAATTTGTACAGAATGACCTCGTGGGTTTGAATGGCTTGCCTGCAGTGAAAATTATGATTCCTGCTTTTTATTCAGTGTTAACTGCATGCCAGGTTCTGTACTGGGCACTTTTCTTATATGATCTCTAATTTCTCATAACAATTAATCTTATTATCCCCCCACCTATTTTATATGTGAGGAATCTGTGGCTGTGTCATCAAGCAGACCCATTCTCATTGCACATGTGTTAGCAAAGGGAAGTTTCATGTTCTTCCAGGGCACGTGATGTCTGAGGCAGGCGCAAGGGCTCCATGGCACCATCAATGCCCAGGGCTCCATCTGTAGTTTTCTCAGCTGGTACTACTTAGCATGTGGCTTTTATCCATGTGGTCACTAGCTCCGGCCTCATGTTCTAACAGATAAATGAAGCAGGAAGTGACAGAGAAAAAGGGTTGGGCTTCCATTAGGAAGGCAAGCCTTCCTTAGAAATCCTGGGCAGGTTCTATCCACACCGCATTGACCAGTGCTGTTCACAGAGCTCTGCCTATTTGCAAGGGAGGCAGGAACTGTAATTTGTTAACTACTGAACCAAACAACAGAAACTTCTGCTGGTAAGGTAGACACAGAGAGCAGACAATGCTGGTGGCTATCTATCTCTGCCACACCACACTCCCAGGTTTATTACTAAATGAGCATTTCCCCAATTGTTTCTACTTTATGTCTTTTATGGAAATTTCAGTTCACTCACAGGGTTTCCTTTCATCTCACCCATCGTTATGTTCTTTCTTGAGGTTTTGATGCGAAAGCTATTAGTATTGGCACCGTAAGTATTGGTTGAAGTTACTAACTGGGTGTTTGTGAAGAGTGAGATAAGGTATGAAGCAAGAAGACATGCATGGACACAGTAACTGTTGTCCTAATGAGGACATGATCCATCGTCTCCAGAGAAAGCGAGCAGTCCCTCTGTAAGGGCATGGTGTTTTATAGCATGTTTATCCTGTGCAGGAACTATTATTTTAGGCCAAGGCAGCCAGCTGCAGGCAG